TGCTGGCTGGGGAATTCTGGGAGTTGAAGTCCACACAGCTTAAAGAGGCCAAGGCTGAGAATCAGTGATCTAGCCAGTATTAAAGTGAGAGTAGCAGACAAACTCTATTTTTCCCTAGAACATGGGCAACTATTGTTTCAGCCAAATGGGATAAAGCACCCTGTCATAAACCGAACCGAGCGATCTCAAGAAACATGCACCCAACCGATCAATCACCCAACTGATCCATCACCCCACTGATCCATCATCACATTCTTTTCTCGCATGGATCTGGAATTAGGGAGCCCGGCTGCGGAGTTCACACAATAACCCCCCGTCTGTTAGTCCTCTTCTCTTTAACACGGTTCTTGCCATTCACCCTAGCTCTGGAATTTCTCCTGGGGTACCATTAACTTCCGCCTGGGATGAAGATGCCCTGTGCCCGTCGTACAACCTCCACCAGCTCCAGTCCGATCTTTCTGGGAAGTTCACAGGTGGAGCCACCAAGGCGTAGCCCTCCGCTCTTGCTCTTCAGAGATATTCTGCTTCTGAACATGCAGGTTCCACAAAGCCATCAGGGCAAAGAGCTGTCCACAAGCTTTCCCTCTTAATGTGCATTTCTTTTATAAGCTATTTAAATATCAGGCTGCTACCTGTCGGGTTAGAGATAGGAAAACCCAGGTTCAAATTCTTGTTGGCTGACTTTTGACCGACTGTTACTCTCATCTTTACCTCCCTTGTAGGGCGGTGGTGAAATTACGATGTCTCTGCGTTCATGCAGCAGGGTTAAGGAGTAGGAGAGAGGGCCAAAAGATCTACCTCCCTGCCCCTGCCAGTAAGTCTAGACTACAATCCCCATCACCCACAGCCGCTGGGCCCAGCGGTGACGGGACTCACAATCAAACTTATCTGCAGGGCAGCCAGGTCAGAGAAGGCTGACCCTTGGACTGGACATGCAGCCATTCAAGCCACACACACACACGCACACACACACATCACAGGGAAAAACGGGACAATCCTCCTTGTTCCTTTCAGACCCCCCTTTTGGCCCTGCACAGCTTAAGACGGTGCTGAGTACACTGGCTGCAGCCAGGAGAGACCGTCTGGACTTCTCCTGCTTCAAAATGGGGTCCTTCTGGTCTCCCAGGCCCAGCTCATCCCCCAAAGGAGGGGGTGTGGGAGAAGCAGCCACCTCTCAAGTGGATCTTGGCAAAGAGTGAGCTCTTCTTCACCGCCACCCCTGCAGCCCCCCAAAGAACTCCATCCCAAGGTCTTGGGGGCTTCCTTAAAGACGTTCTTCTTGATGTCCAGTGTTCTCCAAGGGTACCCCTGAAGGTGATGCTCATCTGTTGCTGGACTGATGCAAACTGGGTTAAAGCAGAAGGCATTCCTTCCCTACTCTAGGCAGAATTTCCTAGGAAGGCAGGGAAGCAGGGGAGTTGTAATCCCAACAAGCTGGAGTGACCAGGGGTAGTAAGGATGGTCGGGAGTGGGGGGAATGGAAACTTGGTTTTCCCCTCTTTTTTGGCAGTTAGGTTCCAAAGGATGCCCTCCAGACATCTGGGCTGAAAAATCTTGGTCACCTGCCAATATTCTGGCAGTGGGTGACGGGCTGAGATGCATGTTTATGTCTCCTCAAGATGCGCATCATCAAAACAGAGCTGGTGGGGGATTTTTTTGCAAGAAGGAAAGGGAGGAGAGAAAGAAATAAAGTTGATGAATCTTTGAACTGGATTGAATTCAGCCTGTTCCCACTAGGTATTCTCCAGATAGCCTGGGACTACAACTCCCAGAATTTCTGGAGATGATGTGAATTGTGACCCCTGCACATCTGGAAGGCGCCCTGCTCAGAAAAGCTGGACTTATCTTTGATCTTTCAGCATCTCCTCTGGTGGCTGCCATCTGCAGTGGGGGGGGGCAGGTGAAGTGGGACATGGAAAATAACTGGTGTTAACGGCTCACTGCGTTGAGCCAGGAGCGTCCACAAGGTATGGTCAAAAAAGTCAAGATGGCGGTCGTGATGGCACAACCAAAGCTCCACCTGTTTTACATGTAATCCCCATCATCCACAGCCACCAGACTCATCAGCCCACATCAGGCCCAGTGCTGATGGAAGTCTCAGTCAAACTCATTTGCAGGACAGGCAGAACATAAAACCGGGTAAGCTTCATCTGCACTGTGGCAACCGCCATCTTGACTTTTTTGACCTTACTCTGCTTTTTTGACCTTACTTTTTTGACCTTACTCCTCCCCTCCTTTGAACAGTGAGGCAGCTTACAAATCCACCCTCTAAAAAGCCTAGAAAATCAGCTCAAGCCTAAGTCACTTTCCCTCTGACCGACTCACCTATCCGACCTGCAGTGAAGAAGCAACATTAGAACAACAGCAGGAGGAAAACGTTGAGTTTTCTCTCCACTTTTGCAGGGCAACCATGGGATAGCAATCTATGCTTTTGATTGCAGACACGATGTTCAAAGAACAAAACAGGTGCCTCGGAAAAAAACCTCCAGGCACCCCATTGCCACGGCTTTTATTGTTCTATTGTTTCACTTGTTCATTGGGATGTGATAGACGGAGGTATACGTGATTGATGAGGGTAAACCATCTGGTAGAAAATAGAGTGTCTATTAATACATAGCCGTGAAGTTTGCTCACCATTTGCACTGCTTGCATGTCCCTGTGGAGAATCCAGCCCTGCCAGTTTGATGCCAGACATAGATTCCCACTCACTCATGTTTCTTTCAGATTCATACAACCAACCACGATTTTATTCCTGATTCTTATTATAAGGAATCCACTTTGGAAAACCCCTTAATCTGGGAAGAACGGCTCTGCGGGCACGAAGCGTCCATCTGCTAAATCCATTTCTCGTTCTTTTATTTTCCTCCCCCTTTTTCCTTCTTCGCTGCTGCCATCCCATTTAACGGGCACATCGTGGACGTGGGAATCCAGGGTGGCAGTGGGGAGCCACGATGTTCCTGGGCAGCCCAAACTCCAGACATTTGGGGAGCATGTTGTTAAGATGCCATAAGACCGTTGGCCATTCTCTAAACATTTGATTTTTTTCTGGCAGCAACCTGTTCATCCGGGCCACTGCACGCCAGTGGGCAAGCACCGTGGCAGTGATTTCAAATTGGGGGCGTTGTAGGAAGACGATCGGGTTAGTCCATAAGAGCCAAAAGTCCAAAGGAGTCTGCTGGCACCTTTTCCGACTAGCAAATTTTATTCAAAGGCGTAAGCGAAGGCTTGTGCCTTTGAATAAAATTTGCTAGTCGGAAAAGGTGCCAGCAGACTCCTTTGGATTTCAAGCTGGGGAGTGGGTTAGAATTGGGTCTTGACTTCCCTGGACCACCCACCCACAGGATCAGAGGGTACCCGTTCCTCCAGGGACCTGCCAAGGCCAGCCGGCTGCACCGAATTCTTTCCAGGGCCTGTTACCACCCCCTGAGTTCCCTTCGCAGCTTTCAAATCAAAAGAATCGGGTTTTGCCTCTGAGGTTAAAGCCAGGGGCAACCAGAGGAGAATCAGTGATGGAGCCCAGCTGGAGCTGAAGGTCCCTGTTCTGATCAGCACATGGACTTGCGGAATTGATACGTGCAGAGACAGGCGGGGAGAGTTTCTTTTATGAACTTACCCCGTCAACGGATCTATTGGCTTGGAGAGATGGGGTACACCGAGCGTGGGACTCGGGCCACCGAGGAGAACGGCATTTGGATTTCTTTCCTGCGCTTTAAAATGCAGAAGGGCCTCAAAGCAGTCCCAAGTTGGGGGTGCACTTTGGGCTTAACCAGAGTTTGCAGAATAAGCCAGAGGGGATGGGGTTCGCACATTACAAGAGGCTCCCAAGCACCGTTTGCACGACCCACTAAGCCCCCGTAGCTGGGCTTACACACCACGCTAAACTGAACCCACATCTTTGTAATAATCAAGCTTATCTTATCTCTACAAAGTTCCAAGTGGCTTACAGAGGGGGAAGCGATGTGTGACCTTCACAGCAGCCTGGGAGTTGGGAGTTGGGAGACGGTATCCTGCCCAAGGCTATCTACTGAGGATCATAACCCAAAGCGGAGTGGGGGGAGGTCTTTCACCTTAACAACAGCAGTGCACAGTAGACCAAGGCTGACGTAGAGTGACCTGTTGCTCCCTAAGCGACGTGCAGCAAGTAGAATTTGTAACTGGTTCTGCCTAACTCATATCCAACATTTTAGCCATTTGCATCACCCCAATTTTGGGGGATCGCTGGGTTTCTCCCGGCTTCCGTCCTGACTCCAATGCGATAGAGCTCAGGTCACGCGAAAAGGTGCACCCAAACAGACACTCACCTTCCTGGGGGTTGCCGATGCCCATCCACCAAGCCAGCAAACATGAGAGGAAGCACCGGCTAACTTGACCCATCTTCCGAAAGCGAAGATCCCCTTCGAAAATCATCCCGGCTCCCGAAAGAGTCTAATGGTTCATTGGTGGAAGAGGAGAGGGAGAATCCTGAAAATCCGTTGAGGAAAACCTCTCCCAAGGAGCCAGCTACCGAGTCATGAAAAAGCAGCCGAAGAAATTGTCGCTGGAGCCCTCGGTCCGAAAACAAGTGACGAAATCTAAAGTGAAGTCAGCACCCAAGAGGTCGCTGGAATGATGGATACAAAGTTGTTCCCCCCCAACGTGCCAAAACTCCTGTGGAAATTCGGAATAATTTCCCAGCTCAAAACATTTGTCCGTATCATGAAAGAAAGAAAGAAAGAAAGAAAGAAAGAAAGAAAGAAAGAAAGAAAGAAAGAAAGAAAGAAAGAAAGAAA